GCACTTGAATCTGCAGAAGACACATTGAAAGTGAAGAGCATTAATCTGATCCCAAGCGTGTCAAAGGTGTCAATTAAGCTCCCCTATTCAAATGCAGGACTTTGAATAGGTAAAATCAAAATTTCCATTATCCATTTATGTAAAACCCCTGGCTTTAGTTCAAGAAAATCTCTTTACCATATATACTCAACCCCTGAGAATGGCTCGGGGTAAAGGGCACGGAGTCTGGTGAATCAGGTTAGAAGTGAAAGTTGTTAAAAACTATATGTGGTTCTTACAACCACTCCCTGTTCCGTGGTAGACGTGGAAGCATGTGATTGTGAATTTTGTGTTGGGATTACACTGTCTCAAGGGTATTATTGTTTATATTTTACAGTGTTTTTAAAGATATATTTTATACTTTGCATTCCATATTTTTCTTGTTATCATAATATTACAAAGTGAAGCTAGGCAAGATTGTAGATAATATATTGCATGGAGGCAGTTGACCTGAACGTACCAGTTTACCATTTCTGTTTTGTTCAATGAGAGTATATATAAACTCTCATATCTTCAATTTATCAATGTAACTATGAAAACATTCACAACTAACAACTCATGTATGAACAAACACACGGTCGTAGAAAAAACGTGTGGATATATAATGTTTGTCGATGAGATCTTGAGATTGTAGACGTTAATTTTACGCAAACCTTGAAAATGGTATTTTCGAGTTCAACTCTTTTCAGTTTTCAACCATTTTGCAAAAAATCTAAAAAAAGGTGGTCTGTCAATGTCATAATTCGAACTTCGAGCGATAAATAAAAAACGTCTTCTAAGACCTTGTATCACCTGAAACGTTCCAAAGGAAATAACTTCACGTTTCGTATAATTCACATATATATTTTTCACATATTTAGTAGAATTCTATAAGCACTCAAAACATTACACCTAAATTATTACATATTTAATGTCCTAAACACTGCCAAAATCCTTACCCTAGCGGTGTTATGTAGAACGAGTCACTCGCAGCTCACACAAATTGGCCCGAGTGCGAGCCACTTTGTCTCGGGTTTGCCATCAGCTCATATAATGAATGAAAAATGAAATTTCGATAAAATATAGTACAATAATTCAAGGACAATCATCAATTATACAGTAACGAAAGGACAATCGTATAGTAATTCAAGGATATATCAAAATAACTGAAAGTTCCAACACATAAGAATCTTAATGAACCTAACAAAAGGATAATGGTCCAGCAAAATCACTTTTATATATATTGGTGAGTTACGAGCGATTTGCCCCATCAAGGGACGAGATCGTGGAACGAGTCGAACCACACTTTGATTAAACGAGCTGGCTCGATTCACTGAAATATGTGCACAAACTGAGCAGAGCCTAACGTATCGATTAGTCCCATTTAACAGTCCACTTTGTCCCGTTCAAATCGAACAATGGCCCTCTTGAAGTTGGCACGTGAAGCTGCAAAACATAAACGGAAAATGTTGGTTCTATTTTTCATTACGGAGTACAGAGCTGGAAATATAAATTCTTTTATTCTATTGATTCTAAAGTTCTTGTTTGATTTATTATTATTATTATTATTATTATTTGATCTGCTGAATATTCTTTGAATTTTACCGTTTGAGTTAAATTCGACTAATACTTTAAGGCCCTGTTTGATACACTATTTTTTTTATTCTCATTCTTCTACTCATTTTCAACCACACATTCTTCAATAAAATAATATTTTCCATCACATCAATAACTTTTCCTTCATTTTTAATCACACATTTTCCATCAATCTACTATTCAATAATACATTCTTTCAAAAGAATGTATTCCAAACACACTCTAAGTGAAATTTTGGTGGATGAACTTTCTTTTGTTTCAAGTTGATCACATAAATTTGGTCTGCACCTGATGATCAAACCGTCCATGTGTATTAGCTCGCTAAGGGACTTGATGATGTGATGGACTATAGCTATTTGCGAACTAAACTGCTAATAACTAAAGGAATTGAGGACGTAGTAGTCTAGATATTTACGAATTAGGCTTTCAACTAAGATGTCGCATCACCTTTTTGGGTAATCAAACAGATGGATCTGCATCAATTGACCAACTTCAAGTTAACGTAAAAGTTTGTCGATCAACTTGAAATGAAGTTTAATAGGTGGGTTTGGTGGATATTAAAATTAGATTTTTAGTAGATTATGATAGAAGTTTTTGAAATGTGTGGTTGAAAAGTTCTGAAATTCATGAAAGATGTGGTTAATATTAATTATTTGATTTTGATTTAAATTAAAATCAAATTTTAATATGAAACAAACATGGTCTAAATTCAGAACACCCTCCACCCTAATATCTTGTGTTGACCTTAAAAAATGAACCAATAGAATCCATACTCATCTTCTCCACGTGGACATCACCTGCACACTGAACATCCCATTAGGAGGCAAAGACTGCAGGTCAAGAAAAATGTCCGACGACCGTTTGCACGCCGACAATCAAGTCAACAGCCGGACGAGAAGAAAAGAGCAAGGGAGGGTGAGAGAATTTGGATAGGGTTAAAGAACATACATTAATTATGATATGAATCACACATATATAAGAAATGTAAATGAACATGTGGGTCGGACCCAAGCTTAGGCCCAAAAATATCCGACTTGATTAAATAGTCGATGCCACGAAATATATAAGTGTAACAATACTCCCCCAAGTCTGAGTCGTACATTCATGTGCGGGTCGGACTTTGAAGTATAACTAGTCAAGTTGGCCAATGTGGGATCATTTTCGTCGAGTGTATGCTGCGTAATTTATAGGTGTAACATCTTGTATGATTTGAGGGGTCGTATTTTTAGTCGAAAATAGAAAGTTTACGAGTGTTAAGACATTTTGTCACTGTGGTTTTGTTTATATACTTGTCTAGCCTAGCCATTGTATGTATATTGCACAAAAATTATTTCATATTCACAGAAGCTATGTCTCAACCACTTGAGTCATCTCTCTTTATTTATCGTTGATCCATGACACTTATGCTTGTTCTATATTTTTATCTATCTTATTAGAAATTATACATTCATTTATCATTCCAAATGGGTGGACATGAGTTATGCTGACCGGCAACTTACCCACCGTGGCATCACCCTACATCCGCGCCTCTCTAGCTAATGGACCTTTCGAGCAAGGCTAGAAAAATAAACAATGCACACGAACTAGCCCACGAGATTTCTCAAGTAAGCTAACCGAATCATGCCTACCCTTCGTGCTCGGTTCTAGTCGACCATTTCAACCATGCTGAAACCGAGTCTAGGGACAGTTTTCTTTAAGCTTGATTGTGTCACAACAGCAGGCATATAATAGAATGAAATCTAGGAAACAGTTGTTGGCCGGACATAAGAATTGCAGAAATGCGCCGGATATATGGAATAAAAACTATCATAATCCAAGCCATCCCAACGTATTGTATGAGTATATTCAAACTGCCTAAAACCATCCTCCAGGTGATCAATCGACTTGTTAAGAATTTTTGGTGGGGTAGTAGAGGAGAAAAGACGAAGACGCAATGGTTACCATAGAATTTGCTGGGGTCTTCAAAAAAGGCTGGAGGACTTGGATTCAGAGACTTCGATGCAGCTTTGTTGGCGAAGCAGGGCTGGAGGTCAATCAAAACTCCTAGCTCATTGGCAGCGAAGGTGTTAAAGGCGAAATACTTCAGGAGATCAGACTTTTTACACAGTAAGGTGGGAAGTAAGGCTTCCTTCATCTGGAAGAGTTTCTCCAGCATTAAAGATGTGTTGCGAGAGGGATTATTTTGGCGAATTGGAAACGGCGCATCAGTGATTATTGGACTGGATAAATGGATACCCCAAGCTTCCAATTCTCATATCCATCCTCCCCTACATGCAAGGATGTTGGACAGGAGAGTGAGAGATCTTTTTAACGCTGATTCTATTTCCTGGAACATGCTCTTAGTCTCTCAAATCTTCAATGAATCGGATGCAAAATTCATCAGCATGATTCCTATTTGTCATAGTGGTCACCCGGATATACCTTCTTGGAGGGGAACGAAGGATGGGAATTTCACAGTCAAAAGTGGTTACCACTTTATCAATCAGCGGTATATAGAAGCAATGGGCCAATGTTCATACAGTAATTCTCATAACGAGGTATGGCGGAAAATTTGGAGTCTTTCGGCCCCTAATGCTAGAAAAATGTTTCTGTGGAGGGCTTTCCTTGACTCCTTACCTACAAATCTGAATTTATACAGGAGACATATCAGGGAGTCCCCTCCTTGCCCGATTTGTGCTCAGGAGAAGGAATCAGTGGTCCATGCATTGTGGGAGTGTATTTCTGCCAGGGATGTTTGGGGTGCCAGTACACGCAAGATACAGAAAATGGCCCTTCAGCCATTATTTTTCCTTGATCTTGTCGGTCACATGTTTTCCAAGCTATCTGAGGAGGAAATGGAGGTCTTTACTGCTACGGTTTATCTAATCTGGCAGAGGCGGAATTCCTTCGTGTTTGACAATACATTTGAAGACCCTTCTTCGCTCCTGAACAGGGCTCGGCAACAAGCGGTGGATTATAGAACGGTGAATTCTCTGCTAGCTTGAACTTGGGGAGTGAAGCTCTATTGATCTGATTGGTAGTTACTTGGTAGGATTTGGTGGTTGCTCATTCTTTGGCAATAGGATGCACTAAAACTCCCTCAGGGGAGCACTGTGTAGGAGAATTTTTCTCCTTGTATCCGTTACTTGCTTTCTTAAAAAAAAAACTATCATAATTCAAATAATCCATTGAGATAAAACCACCCTTGATTATGATTTTTGGATATATTAGTGAAAATACTTACTATATTTACTGTATTAGAAGAGAATCTTTTTACCGCCCTAATCTTATTTGTAAGTGTAGATGATAAATTATTAGAGATTCTATTTGCTTAGTGCACATCCCCATCAAGTTTTCTATGCACACTGATTCCATGAAAATATATTAAATTTTATATAGTATATGTACGTACGTGCTTACGTATCCATGCACGATGATCTCAAAAGCCGTTAATTAAGTTTCGTTTCATGCTAGAGGTGTTCTAAACATGTCTATGATCGAATAAATAACATACAACTCAATGCTGATATTGCAGAGATGTTACCTCGAGTGCATGATTGGCTTATGGTAGATAGCCCTTTCTATTTTCGGTTGAGAAAGGCCCATATCAATAATAATGATTTTACGATTTCTCACAATCTTGTTCGTACGTGACAAAATATTTT